TACTAAACATATATCTCAGAATATTTTTATTTATTTTACATGTCTATACACTAAAAATATTAAATCTTATGTATCGTTTTTATTACTAATTTTTCTCCTTCAATAGTCATACTTTGAGTTTAATTTAGTTAATAACTGGAAAAGGATTTATTTTTGATTTAAACAAATTCGATAGCTTTATAAGCTGCATTCAGGTTGAAGCACTAGTGTGTCCTAGAATGCTTTATTAGCTCTAAAATTAAAGTCGGTGCCTCATTGAGGTGAACTTGACTCTCAAGATGACATCAACATGAACTGTACACTAGTTTTAGGTTGCCAACATGAACTATTTAATGTGCTTTAGTGTGCACTAGTGCTTCAACCTGGATGCAACTGTAAAAAGAATCCATATGTTACTTGCATAACTGTAAATATTCTAAAAATAAAATTATTTTAAATTAATTTAATTTGAATTAAAAACTAAGTTTATTATAATACTTTTTATTATATTTAATCTTCTAAATATCATTAATAACATCAAGAATTATAAACAATTTAAATACATTCCAGTTGTTAATTACAGGACAACATTTAATTTTCACTTCTAACAATGGAATAATTATTAATATTCTAAATAAATTTCATTTCTCAAATGCAACATATATAACACATTTATCTTAAAGTCTATTTCATTAATAATGAGAAAACTTAACAATTTCTAGTAAATATATATGTATTTTAAAGTTTTTACAATTTTTTTTTCTTATAATATAAACATAAATTCTACATATGTAAGAAATCAGACGCAGGTAAGGAATGGCAGATTTACGAAAACCAATTCCGTCTTAGGATATAAAGTGAATCGTGAAAATAACACACCTTTGATCTGGTTGACTAGATGGTTAAACTTGGCTAAACAACAATTTAACCAGGAAAAACTCCTCATACACAAGTAGTTGGATGGAAGGATATAAGAAAGCCCTGTGCATGAGCACTATAATAGACAAATTTTGTACCTGGGGGGCTTGAAAAGCTGTGGAAGAGATGATGTAGTGACTCCCTAATGGACTTTTCTGTGTTTCATAAATTTGGTGAGTTGCTGTACATCATTCCTTTGATGACTTTTCAAGAAGTTTGGTTATAAATTCTACATAATTTTACATAATTTAATTATTATTTTATTAAAAGAATAATAATATACTTGATTTGTGGAAGATCAAATCAGTAATTATTCTTCAAAAAAAATTATATATCATTTAATTATTATTATTATATATATATGATATTTGGAAGTTTAGTTGCCAACTTCTAAAATCATACTTCAGTCATATCACATAATGATAATGTCAGAGTAAGATCACAATTTTTCTCTATAAATATATAATTATCTTTATCATCAGTTGAGTATTTCCTCCAAATTAAATTAAGTTCCAAAACTCTACAAAAATATGTCTTTGTTTAACAATATTTAATATTGTCAATATTCATTAAAAATTATGAAATATATACCCATAAATTCTTAATATATAAACATAGAATTTTTCTAAAATATCTCTTCTAAAATTTTGAAAATATGTATATTTATTAATTATTTTATATAAATTTATTATTCTATATATTTACATTAGACAAATTACCTTTCCAAAACCAGCAAAATATTTTAATTTCTAGTGCTTTCAATCTTAAGAAGTTCATCTTCAACATAAATCAAGCAAATGCATTTAAATTTGAAATTTGTTTTTATGTATCCTGGGGATGGTATTTTAAAATCGAAAGTATTAGAAATTAAAATATTTTGTTGGTTTTGGAAAGGTTATTTCTCTAATGTAAGACAAATAACCTAAACAAAGAAAGACTCCTAACTGATTTGTTAATGTATTTATCTATATAGGGAGAAGGTGGTATTATGGAACCCCTCCATTTCAAACTGATAATAAAGGCGAACTGTAGCGGATTGTGGCTGAACTACACTAGGCAGACATCCATAGCAAGGGGAAAACCCATTTTACTTCAGTTAAACGGTTATCCATAGTGAATTAGCATATTTGTGTTTTCGAAATTCGAAAGTTTTGGATGGTAAGTGAATTTAATTATTTCTAAAATATAAATAGTGTAGTTGTAGGTTCACTGATGCATGTATTCCATTCCAGAAACTTAGGGCTACATATTAATCTGTGTGATGTTCACGTTTTTTAAAATTTGGTCTTGACAGACATAAGTTAATTCAAGATAGCGATGCGTGAAATACGAACCCCATTGATGCTTTTAATATGGAACCCGTCTAACTTTTGTAAAAGTATGTCGTAGATGAATGAAAAAATAGAAGGAAAATGAAAAAAGTAAAAATAGGTACCTAACACTATAGGAGCATTATATTTGTGATTTTTGTAAATGATTAGCTTCTTCTTTGTACATTTCTTTATTATTATTATTATTATTAAATCATTTTTGCAATAATATATATTGGAGTAAATAATTTTGTAATTATTTAACATTCTTTGTACTTTCCTATTTGTTTTTGGATACATTAAAGCATTTTTTGAAAACATACAGTAAGGTTCCATATTACCACCCGGTTTTCCCTAAGCCTACTTTCTGACTTTTTGTACAGAAGCCTTCAAAAACCATACTTATAGTTACACTAGCGAAAAATCCAATTAGGAACATTTAGTTTAATAGTTACCAGTACTTTTCGCACAAAAAATGTGGGTGTAGTTATGATACCTTGTTTACAATTCACTATAATGAAAATGGGGTTCCATAATACCACCTTCTCCTCTATATTTAGTTTAGCACCATATCAAATCACAGAATTGATAATTCACCTACTGTATGTTAATATTTTTTAATTAAATATTACTATACAAGTAATTCAAATACAGTATTTAATTGTAAAAGTAGTTTGTTTATAAAAGTTAAGAAATTTTGCATAGAAACATTGCATTTATATTTCTGCAATTTAAAATCTTTGTACAAAACAGTATTTACTGTAATACAGTTAATATTTGATAAAAAATAATAATACAGTAATTTACAATTTGACACAAAATTAAGAAGTTGA